TATATATATATATATATATATAATAGCTGCAACAAATACAAGGACTAACTACGTGTATCCACAATAACCTTACCATTCTAACCGGACAAATTAGGAGAATTCCGAGACAACTTTCCGATAAGCACAAAATGAGACGCAGATGTTTTGGGAATCACACGGTCTTGTTTGATCAGGTTCATCTGGTTCAAGGGGGATGCTTAGTGCATGCAGAACGGTACTGTGCACTGGCCCATGTGTTTGATATCGAGTGTGGTTCTGTCAAACAGAATGACGTTTTGCTGACATCTGTTGTTCGACCGGACTAATTGGATCCATAATGAATTGACTCAAACAGCGAACACCAGCATCTTCCCTTGGGCACTCATATAACGTCCTTGTAAAGTCTCTGCAGCGGAAGGTTCCACTGTGGTTTTTTCATCTAGAGGCTTCCTCTAGAAGCGCAATCACTAACCCACCGCTACGCACCACTACGCTCCCCTGTAACGCACTGATGATGTCACCTCGATTGGTGATGAAGTGTTTGCAATCAAATTGCCCAGCTCAGCTCACTTACCCTAACCAAGACATTTGCTAATTAAAGATACAATAAATTGGTCAAGTCCAACTGAATGGCTTCACACCGGATGGCGTTCGAACTCTAAACCTCCCACCGTTGCGTGTCAAATGAAATCACGGGAAAGCAAAATATGTACGGCTCAATTATTTACGGGCCACCTATGCTGCAATATCGGTATGAACCACTTAAACGGGAGCGTGAATTCAGAGCTGGCGTTGTCAGCAATAAGTTCACAACCCCGAGTGCATCCACAAGTACTGATATGACATTTTCTCCTTGATTTATAGGTACTTTTTGTGTGTGATCAATGCAAGGAACTTACTACATGGTAAACAAGTCAGCAATCTCCTCTCTCGGCCAGCTCTGAAGAAACAGGTTGAAGAAGAGATCGAAAGTGAAGTCTTTCAGCTGTACAGATGGTAGCTGTGTGGGGTGGGATAAAACGAGTGTTATAGTGGGAAGTAAGTAGTCAGCGCATGAAGTTGTGTGAGGAAGATAAACAGTGTTTTAATACTCACCTCCGAGTGTGCCTGAGATGAACCAAGTGCCATTGCAATACAACACGCAGGAATGATAGCCTGTTTAATCGTTCTGGTGTCAGTTTCATTCTGATTCCTTGGAATTTTCCTCGGGAAAGTCATGTTATACAGTAATGTGAGGTACGTCCATCTAGAGTAAGAAACCATACATTGGACCGAGAGTTAAGGATTCTAAAATAGTATGTATTCAGTCTACTAAATTACTTGACAGTAGTGTGAATTATTAACAAAATGCGAATGAAGCCGCTGTCGCAGTTTCTGGTCTTCCTTTTTAAATGAGACAGGATAGTGATGATAAAAGACAGTTTTCAGGAGTTGATGACATTTTCAAGTTTTTCTTAATAACAGCATGTGTCATAAGTAATTGGTGATAGCAAATTATGACGATAAAGTTTGGTCACATGGGCCGGAATAGATGCAGCTACATGTGAAAATGCTTTGGGGTCGGACCCGATTCAGCAGACGCAATGGTCAAAAATCCCGAAGTTACTTTAGTAGTTACTTTAGTAGTTAAAGCTGTAGGAATCCATATTCTTGCCAAACGTAGATTTACTGTTTACAGAATGGATCAGCTTAGTTTGAGGACATTTTGGGACACAAGACCACAGATTTGAGTCAGGTACATGCCGGTAAGTGCACTATATCAATATGGCGGACAACTCAACCAAAACAATCGTAGTCTACCCGGATTGCCGCTAAGTGAACGTAGAACTACCTCATTGATTCTGCGAACAAACTAAGCATTCTCACAACTATTTGGGGAGTTCAAGCATTTAAAAGGATTAGTTTGATTTTTAATAAGCCTTTTGCACCACTGTTACATGCGTGAATCAAGTATTTTAGTGATAAACTGAGTTTTACATGTTATGAGTATCTCAAGGTAAGTGACTCGTCAGAATTAATAGGAAGGCTATACCAGTCGGGAACTAACAGGCTGGAGCTCGAGATGGCCCTGTAGTTGGGGTGCGCGTCAGAATTAATAGGAAGGCTATACCAGTTGTGAACTAACAGAGATAGCTTCGAGATAGCTTCGTGTTTGAGGTGCAAACTTGCTGACAGGGTGAGGGGTCGTGGTCCAAACTCAATCTAGGCATGCGGACTGCTCCCGTCTAGTCTTGGGAAATCCAACGGTGTCTCAGTTGTCATGCTGTCCTCTAATGATCTGGTGCCTAGGCACAGCTGCACAAGTAGGATTTAGTTTACAAACATGCGAAAGACTATTAGGTGAAAAATGCTTGAAACCAATTGAGTAGTCATCATTAAGTATTACTTCAATAATGAATAAGAGTACTATTGAAGTTGGTAGATATTTACGATCCGTAATGTGCCATTTAGGGCAAGGCAATTGGAATCGCTTGTACGCAGGAAGTGCGATTCAACCGCGACCCTACGAACTGCCAAAAATCCACAAGGCAGATGTACCGATAAGACCAATAGGTGGATAGTATAGGCTCGCCACAACATGAACTGGCCAGATTCTTAGATGGTATACTAAAACCGCTCACGGGGAAATCAATCACCTACATTAGGATTTCGTACGACTCTGCCAGTAAGGTCGCAGGGCTCCTTTTGGATATGGACGAAGTCCTCATGAGTTTTGACTTAATCTGAATGTACACAAACATCCCTACGGCAGATGCTCTGGAGGTAACTAAGAGGTTGTTACTGGCAGACACGACACTCGGGGAACGGACACACCTCTCGGTGGATGAAATAGTTGAGGGCATAAGAGTGTGTTTGAATCTTGATAAGTTTGTTTTTGACGCAACTGTTTACTCACAAGAACAAGGCCTTGCAATGGAATCTCCAATATCCCCAGTTTAGCCAGTATTTACATGGAGGACTTTCTTGGCCGGATATCATTGTCCACCCAAAGTTTTTTGGCATTATGTTGACGACATCTTTGTTGTAATCAAACGAGATAACGTGAACAGCTTCCACGATTGTATCAATAGTTTAAACCCACACGTCAAGTTTAGCATGAAACTAGAGTCCACCTCGGGCACATTAGCCTTTCCGGACTGTATAACACATGAGATTGGTGAGAGATTAAAAACGATCTACCAGAAACCAACAAAATTAGGAACTGCCTTAAACTACTAATCGGTACACCCAATGTCCGTGTACGTCAGTGTTGTCTCATCGACATTTTGTCGAGTCAGAGCGCTGTGTACAGAAGAAATCGACCGAATGGCAGCTCAGATCGAGATTGTCAATAGATTTCAAAAAATGGAATACACAGTGAATTTGATTAGGCGTCAACCAAGGAAAATATTGGCTCGGTTATCTAGACCNACCCAGTTAGGAATGGATTGGCACAGTGATCATTCCATATAAAGCAGGAACATCAGAGGTTATTCGAAGATTGATAAAAATAGCCAACATTCGAGTAGCTTTTCAGAAGGGAAAAACGCTACGCTCAAAATTGGTGTAATTGAAAGATCTCCTACCGGTTGAAAGGACTAGGGACTGCGTGTATAAAATTAACCGCAACAATTGCACTGAGGTTTACATAGGACAAACTGCCAGGGAATTGCACACCAGAATTGGTGAGCATAAAAGAAGGATAAACAGATCACCAAGGAATGCGGAAGAACACTAAACGCTGGTCAACGACTCAGTGATTGCATCACATGCCTTAGAAACGGGACGTAGAATAGATCTGGAGAATGTGGAAGTCTTAAGACGGGGACGGCGATTCGCACCACATCGGCTGATAGTCGAGGGAGTGGAAATTACCTAGCATCACTATGAATCGAGTGTGTGGAACTGGCGAGCGTATGGAAAGCGGTCATAGGTAAGCCGAGCTGACACGAGAGTGTGTGGTTGTCAATCCACGCAGAATCATTAGAAAAAACCGGGGGGCAGGGGGAGCAAATCGCAACACGACCAAAGTTCACAGCATCCCTCTTACACATCTATCCTATCACTAGCCCATCCACACAGACGGACAGAAAGTTCAAGCGACTTTCAAGAGGGTTCATCAGGTGAACCGAACCAGAAGAACTAGACCCTAGGCTGGACCCAAACACATATAGGTTTCCCCACCGACCCAACACTGGTTCAACCACTCTAACACACTAAAATTCCTCGGCCGACACCCAACAGAGATTGAACTTGACTTAGCTGATTGTTTATCCTCCATCTTAAATCTCGACCAAACTCGGAACCTGGTCACTTGGCCTGACGAAGCTTTCGTGTCAAAAGCGAAACATTGTCCAGCAATAAATTTACCGATTGTTACCAAATGTTTCCGAAAAAGGCAAAATACTAGCCCAATAAAGTGGGATCAAACACTGAAAATATAAATGAAATTGATTCCCAAAAATACTGACCACAAGTCAGTGTATGAAAGAATAGGACACTACGGCAGAATACATTGTATATTAGGAAAGTTCACTGGTCATCAGCTTACCCAACCAGTCAGTGTTTGTTTGCACCAAGGATTATTTTTCGCGGTGAATGTGTGAAGATGTGATGAGGATGTCTCGTGAAAAATCGCCTCTAGGGGAAGTAGCAAATTGTAAGGCTAGCTCAGACGGCTTAGTAACAACCCCGCATGTTGGAACGGCTGGCGGCGTCCTCAAGAGGGATATTGATTAGGTATGTTTACTGGGGGGACGCGAATGTGCTTGTACTCTATCGAAGCCGGCATTTGTAGCTGGAGTGGACTCGGATCATTCGTGTCAGTGTCTGATGGGATAGCCTAGATAGGAGCTGAGCAGACAGTGTGCGAACGGGACGTCCGCTGAGTTTGGCGGGCAGTGCATCGTTCATTGCTTTGACATTTTAAATTCCTTATATTTCTTCTGCCCCTATTTGTGAACCCGCTCTGCTTTTGTTTTTATTGCGTTCGTATGAACTGGCATTTGTTTGTCTCTACCACTTCACTCATCTAACCTTGAGGTCATCCAGCCATTTCGTGGCCGACCTTATGCTTGTGTGACTGTCTCACGTGGGAGCCTCTTTGATCGTTTGGTTCGTACTTTGGTAGTCCAAGTGGACCACCTGTTGTTGACGAGTATATACTGTCAAGGTTTGCTTATTTTGTGAATTGATGTCTTACATTAATAGAACCGTATAGAAACCCAGCTCGAAATTTGTTTTGTCTTCTCATAGAATCTGGTATTACGCGTCACTCGAAGATGCTTGGCTATTACAGGTAGGTTGCATTACTATTAGGAGAATGAATTCAACTTTCCAAGAAAACACGCCAGTTCCAGAATAGAAAGGTAGTATCCAAGACAATGCACTTTGTAAAAAATTAAGCGAATGCCGAACATCCACTTACTGTTTTCGAAGAATTTCCAAACCAGGCAGGTCTTCATGTACATTACGGTACTTGAATACTATTCGCAGCAGAATGTCCTCCCATACCTGAAACGAACACGCAAATGAATATTATGAAACTACTCCTAAATGAAGGCCACGAACGGTATATAACCTTCCTATTACAGATCGGATGGTCCGTGGTTCGAACCCGACCTCTGAATCTCGACTTCTGTCTGAGTGTCAGGACGCGCCCAGACATGGAAAAAGTACATGTGCAGAGAGTAACGCATCCCCAAGGTCACCATCTGTATGGTACATTCGGAAAGCAGGTGCGTTGGCGGAGCTCACCAAACACGGCTTAGCAACATAAGACCAGTGGAGTGGAGCTGAAAGTGTTCACGACCGGAACGCCGCCATTGGCTGTACAGAACGAACAAGTGAACGACTATATTTGGCCATTTTGTCATCCTATATAGTTACGAAGAAACTGTGTATGTTTTGTCCTGACAATACACGCATGTCCAGGGCTCTCTGTCTTCTTATCGCGTAGTCTGGCGGGCTCAGTGCAGGCGTAAGCAATAGACGGCCACCCACGACACAACACTGAGCTTTTATGGGCATAGCATATTATCTTTCACAGACAAGCTTCCATACTGTTGCTTTTGAGGGGAACATAAACCGTTGGCTTGGCCGGCTCAAATTTCTTCGAAAATAGTTCACCAGTGTGTCTGTGTTTGTAA